GGGGGGGGGATTTAGTGTTTGAGGGATCAGTATTGTGGTTTCTGTATTACACAAGCAAAAGATCCCCAGCTCCATCCTGGGAAAACACCCACATCCCTATGGAGTTGCTTCAGGAAAGGCATCTGGTATAAAAACTTGTCAAATCAAACATGCGGGGCTACTCGATGCGGCGGCCTCTTGTGAGTAAGAGAGCAGTTGAGAGTAGGTCTAATATAGAAAAGACTGGCAATCTCTTGGTGATGAGATCATATAAATTTATGTGTCCAGGAAAACGCCTCTTTGGGCTCCAGAGCTTTGATGGTAATCAATAAATATTAAAAGCTTCAGCAAACAGGAGGATTGCATAATTGTAATATTGTCTACGCCTGTGCTGTGATGTCTGACTGAAATAGTCAGTTAAAGAAAAAGAAACTGACTCGTGTGCTTTCTCGCTGAACAGAGGTGAAGGGTGAAATATGCTTCACTCTGCAAGTGGACTTCTTCCAGTTCTTTTCAAGGATCTTTATTTGTTGACGTGTGCATTAAAGGCTATGAATGATTGCTATATCTAGCTACAAAATCATGAAGTTGACAAAAAAAAAGAAAAATCGTAAAATTAAAAGAAGAAAACATTTTGAAGTTGGGTATCAAGCATAAGATGTACTATCTTGCATCAAAAAGCCAAAAATAACAGGAAAAACACGCGGGACCTCTGCCTGTACGTAGCTGTGTCATGTGACCTGCTGGCTTTACCTGGTGCATTTCCTACTGGACCTGATTTTTGTTTATTATTAAAAAGAATTCCAAGAGCTTTTGAAAGATTCTCTCTGGCTGTGCGTGTTTCTCTTGTTTGTACAGTACCTTCTAATCTCAGCACGTCTCAAACATTTCATCACTCTGAGGGGGACAGTTCTTCTGCTTTTGCTGTTAAATGCTGTTTGATGACCAACATTAAGGTGCATTACCATGATCTTCCTATGCATTAAATCTACCAGGTGTTTGTTGGCTACTTCTTATTTAAAATAAAATACAAATCCCTTCTGTCTGCTCATCAGTCATGCTTACATGTGTAGTCACTAGGGCTGCCACAAACGATTATTTTGATAGTCGACTAGTCACCGATTATTTTTGCGATTAATCGAC